CACCTGCCTAGACTAGAGAAAATGTTTAAGTTTTATTATATCTTAACATCATGCACAAAATCCAGGTGTCCTAGGGGAACTTGTTGTATCTGGACCACTCTTCACCAGGTGCTGCAGCTCCTCTACAATACCTTGCAAGTGACTGCTCCAGCTTTGGCAAGGACATCCAGTGAAAGGAGGTCTCTATCATCCTAGAAACTCAATGAGTGTTCAGGAGCTCTGATTGCCAGGGTGTCCCGGAGCCTAAAGTGCAATTTTAGCCATAAATTGAGGATGTGTAGCATTTACTAAGGATTTACTTTGAGCAAGGTGCTATACTAAATACCCAAGCACTCTCCTTAAAAGTATGTATGTATGTATGTATTTAAAAGGCAGTTTATGAGAGACAGAGAGAAAGAGGAGATGGGGGTGAGGGCTGAGAGAGAGAGAGAGAGAGAGAGAGAGAGAGATCTTGCATTGGCTGCTTCACTCCACAGATAGCCATAACAGCCAGTTCTGGGCCAAGCCAAGCCAGGAGCCAGGAATTGCATCTGAGTCTCAGGTGGGTGGCAGCAGCCCACGTACTTGGTCCATCTCCCACTGCCTTTCATGGACCGTTAGCAGGAAGATGGATAGGAGTGGGGCAGCCAGGACTCTAGTGGGTACTCTGATACAGGCTGCCAGCATCCTAACAGGAACACAGTGTGCTGTGCCACAAATGGTGACCCTGAAGCTTTTCCATTCTTGTTGTTTGAAAGATTGATTTACTTATTTGGAAGGCAGAGCTACAGAGAGAAAGACAGTGAAAGAGATCTTTTGTAAGCTGGTTCACTCTCCAAATGGCTGCAACTGTCTGAAGCTGGGCCAGTCTGATGCCTGGAGTCAGGGGCTTCTTCCCGGTCTCCCACATCTTCTATGGCTCTTTTCTTTGTGAATATCAGCATTTCATGGTTACAACAATGTTTTTAACTGATAACAATTTAATCCCAATCAAATACATAAAGTATTTTTACATCCCCCATATATCACATACTATTGCATGTTATCATTTTCAAATGTATATCATTATATATCATTCTATGTTATATTTTTATCTATTGATATCATTCTATTGTTATAATTAATTTATGCTTTTTTATTTTTGTTGTACAACAGAATGAAAAATGGTTTGCATAACACCTTTACAGGATTATAAGATTATGTGTGTATCTACATGAGGAAGCTTCAAAAAGTTAATGGAATATGAAATTCTAAGTTTAGTTTATATTGGTCAAAAATTTTGGGAAACTACGCATGTTTTTTCATAGTATGTGTTTTCTATGAATATTTGAAGACTCTGTACATTTAACTGAAAGAATTTTTTTTTTATTAGAGAGAAAGAGAGGGAAAGAGAGAAAGAGAGACTGACTGTTACTCTCCAAATTCCTACAGTGGTCAGAACAGGGTTAGGTTGAAGCTGGGAGCTGGGATCTCTGTATAAGATTCCCATGTGGGTGGTAGGAATACAATTACTTGAATTGTGACTACTCCCTCTCAGGGTCTACAACAGCAGGAAGCTGAAGTCAGGAGCCAGAGTCTGATGTTGCTATGTAACTTGGGTGCATGGCTGCTTTAACGGACATCTTAACTGACATAACGTTACCAGAGAGTTTTATATTTTGGCATGTTTTCTTACTGTTGTTGAGTCCCCTGTAATTTTTACCAGGATTTCCTTTAGTATTTCTTGTAAGGCAAGTCTAGCGGTGGTGAATTCTCATAGTGTTTATTTATCTGGGACAATCTTTATTTCTCCCATATTTTGGAACAATAATACCACTGAAGTTCTTTTGCACATGAGAAGTCACTTCTCTCAATCTGCCTCCAAGATTATCTTTTTTTTCTTTGACTTTTGTCAGTGATTATAGTGTTCCACAGTGTAGGTCTCTTTATTTCATTCTAGCTGGAATCTTAAGAGTTTCTTGACTTTGGCTATCTATTTTCTCTTCAGATTTGGGAACTGGGGACCATTATTTCTTTAGATGAACTGACCGACCCTTTCTTTCTTTTTCCTTCTGGGGCTTCCATAAAGTGTAAATGTAGCTTGATGGTTTCTTGTATGGCTTTTTTTTTTTTAATTTTATTTATTTATTTGACAGGTAGAGTTACAGACAGTGAGAGACAGAGAGACAGAGGGAAAGGTCTTCCTTCCATTGGTTCACCCCCAAGATGGCCGCAACGGCTGGAGCTATGCCGATCCGAAGCCAGGAACCAGGTGCTTCTTCCTGGTCTCCCAGGTGGGTGCAGTGGCCAAAGGACTTGGGCCATCTTCTACTGCTTTCCCAGCCCACAGCCAAGAGCTGGACTGGAAGAGGATCAACTGGGACTAGAACCGACGCCCATATGGGATGCAGACACCGCAGGTGGAGGATTAACCTAGTGTGCCTCAGCACCAGCCCATCTGGTATGGCTTTGATGTGGGCTGTCACCAAATCCCCATGTGTTCAAAGTTTGATCTTCAAGGAAGCAGTGCTGGGAGACAGTGGAAGCTTCAGGAGATGCAGCCTAGTGGGATGGTCCTTAAACTGAGGGCAGAGTTTTCTTTAGAAAGTACTTTTCATGAGCAGATTGTTTCAAAAGCCTGTGTTTCTCCCATCCTCTCTGTGTTTTTCCCAGCTCACCATGTGATTGTTCCTCTTTATGGGCTCTGCCATCCTCCGGGAGGCCTCTGCCAGAGCCTGCAAATAACCCTTTCCTCTTCTAAAGTTAGTGCAACAGGTATTGCATTATAGTTAGTGGCTCATCAATTCCTTAGAGTTTCTTCATTTTTCTTCATTCTTCTTTTGCTCCTCTGACTCAGTGATTTAAAATGATTGGTCTTCCTTTCTGCTGATCCTTTCATTGGCTTGAACGAATCTTTCATTCATTCCCCCATAATGAAGTTTAAATTAAGTCATTTTAGTCTTTACTCAAGAACTTGATTTGAATCTCGTTTATCATTTTATCTCACAGTTCCATTTCTCATTTATTTCATGCCTCAATTTCCAATTTTGTTCAGTTGTCTGTGCTCCTTTGGAGCTCCCTCAGTTCATTTAAGGTGATTATCTTGAATTCCTTGTCAGATAAGTTATAGATATTCGTTTCTTTAGGGTCAGTTTCTGAAAATGCATTTTGGTCCTGTGATTAGGCCATTAATCCCTATTTCTTCATAGATTTTCTTCATGTTTTAAAGACTTATTTATTTTTAAGACAGAGTGACAGAAATAGAGGGAAGATGCAGAGACGTAAGTGAGAGGGAGGGGAAGATCTTCCACCTGATGGCTCAACTCCTAAATGCCACCACCAGCCAGAGCTGTGCCAGACTGAAGTCAGGAGCCAAGGACTCTACCCAGGTCTCCCACATTGGGCCACCATGTGTGCCTTCCAGGTGCCTTAGCAGGAAGCTGGATTAGAAGTGTGGAGTGGCTAGGACACAAACCAACACTTTTAAAATTGGATGTGGGAGTGCCAGGGGCTTAACCTGCTGTCACACAATGCCCACCCCTGTTTTCTTAATAGTTATTGAGATTTGGGGCACTTGAAGAAACAGCCACTTCTCCAAGTCTAGCTTTGTCTAAGGAAACACGTACATTAATCTTCTCAGTTAGTGATTCTGGGGATCTTCCATGCCTTCCTGGGGATGCATGTGCTGTGTGTGTGTGTGGCAACTCAGGTTCACCAGTTTCTTTTTAGGAGCTCATATCTCTGGCTGCTTGTTTTGTGTGTCTGTGACACTGATTATTTTCCATGTGCTCTGAGGCCTCCAGCCAGCCAAAATATGTCAGTTCCCCATTAGTGCTCAAGTAAGATGAGACACAAACTAGCCCCTTAGGTATTCCTTCAAAGGCCCAGAAAATTGAATGTGCCTTTCACTTTTTGCTCTTTTTCACAAAGAACTGCAAGATGGGAGAGCTATTGAGGGTGAATTGCATTAGATTTTATTGCTGATGCTAATGTAACTTTTCTTGGCTTTGCACTTATCTGGGATACTGTTACTTCTTATCTGGTTCCTGGAGCTTTTACAAAGTGATTTTGACCAGATCTTGTTAATTTGTATCTTTGTGGGGTGCCTGTTAGCATGGCTTCGTTCATCACCATCATCACCATTACTGTGTTATCTTGGTCCATTTGGATTGTTGTAACAAAGTACCATAAATTGAGTGGCTTATTCTAGTCAATATAAATTTATTTCTTACAGTTCAAGAAGCTGGGGAGTCAGACATCCAGGTAGTGGCAAATATAAAGTCTGCTGAGGGCCTATTTCCTGACAGAAGAGAACGTCTGGTTATGTCCTCATACAGGGGAAAGGCAGAGCAGGAACCCTGAGTCTCTGTTACAAGAAAATGAATCCCATTCATGAGGGCATCACACCCATTATCTAATTATCCCACAAAAGTCCCATCTGTTGATATTATCTTGGGTGTTAGTGTTTTCACACATGGATTTTGGGGAGACAAAAAGATTCAGGCCATTGTGATTGTTATTATCATAGTCCATCTTTATCATGTGTTGAACATAAATTATGCCCAGTCCATTGCAGTGGTTACATGACACACAATTCAAATCTTCTCAATCAAATCTTGAATATAAATTCAAATTTAGTACCATAAAGTAAATTTGATTTTCAGATAGATTTAATGGGTCTGGAAGGAGACAATAATTAGGAGACTTTGGAATTTTTCAATGACAAGATGATTACATTAGGATGTAATTTTGGCTGTTTAGGGAAACTGGAAACTGTTGCTATAGTTAAAATATTATTTCTGCTTAAATATTTTGCTTTAGTCATCTGATTTTCTAAGTAGAAATATTTTGAAAATATTTTAAATTTTTCCTACTACTAAATTTGGTTTAATATCACCTTTCTCATTATTATCATTTTCCAAAACTCCCAAGTGGTCCCAGGTGTTCAAAACTTACCAATTAAGGCCCAACACTGAATTCTTAGTGCATCTTTTGTAATTTGTTTTCTATGATACCTGAATGTATTTTTCTTTTGTCTTCAGTTTTTCTCCCAGGTGCTTATTTTTTCCCCACAAATAAAAGAAGCCAGAAATAGATTTCAGCCTTCTCAACTGGGAGCAGTTTGGGGAAAAGGCTCAAAACACAGCGTCCATGTAAGAATTGTATTTTCAACATTGAGCCACAGCTGTTCACAGACACCTGGGAGATACCTGGAGAAGAATCTTGCCTGGACCAAGGTCCCAGAGGTTCTGGGTATTTAAAAGATAATCATCACTCTTTACTGAGATATAAAGCAGATGCTGAAAACCCACAAAATCCATAAGTCTTATGGAAAAGAACTTGCCAATATAGGATGCCAGTTTTGCATGTTGTGATTTAACTTGCTATGTCACAACACTGGCTCCCAATCTCACAAATTTTTAAAAGATGTATAATACTATGCAATATTTTATTGCTACATAAATATATGTTCATGGAAAATACACATTTATTTTGGTGCAAAAAAGTCAATGTCCATGCAAATGAATAGTTTTCCCACAATATGCACAATAAACTTGACTCTTTATTTTTGTGTGAATTTGTTGAAATACTCGTGTGTATGAAAAGAATTCAGAAATAATGGTTTATGTTGAAGTTATTTACATGCTCATTTGTCTAATTCTGAACTTCCCTTTTAGCAATAAGCTTAGTAAGGCAGGTATCACTGATGTTTGGTCATCTGTATGTAATTACAAGGATATTTCAACAGTAATTGAAGTTTCTACTAGAACAAAAACAAATGGAATACATATATGCAAGAGCAATTCAACATTCAAACATTTAATGTGACCCATCACATCAAAAGATTTAAAAAATTACAATAAATCAACTGATGTAGAAAAAAGCATATGACAAAATCTCACACACATCTGTGATAAAATTTCCCAGTAAACTAGGAATACTTGGGAATACCATCAGATTCATAATGGATATCTGCAAGAAGCCTACAATGATGAGAAAAAGGCGCTTCCCCAATCAGGAATATTTCAAGGATGTACATTTTCATGATTTTTTTTAGTGTCATACTGGAAATACTAGCAAATGCAATATTACGAGAAAATGAAACCAATGTATGCAGAGCTGGAAGGAAGAAACAAAACTGTCTTTGTCCACAAATGACATATCATCTACAAAGAAAGCCTGATAGAATTGATCGAAAAAGCTGGAACTAATAAGTGAATATATAGACATTGTAAAATACAAAGTTAATATATTTTGTATGTCATTTCTTTATATCAGGAACACTCATTCACTCCTGATGAGAACGGAAGACATGATTTCTTACAAAACAAAACACATGTAGAAATTGAATTTGAAAACACAATATCATTTACAGTAGCACTTTCTAATAAAATAAATATAAATGTAAAAACATGTGTAAGATATATATGTGAAAAACTGAAAAATTCTTTTATATGAAATTCAAAAAGAACTAAATAAATGAAGAGATATATTCATGGCCTGGACAGATCAGTATTGTCAGGAGGTTGGTTCTTTCATACTTGAACTACAGATTCAATGCAATCCAGGTGATAACACTATTAAGTCATTTTGAGAATCTCAACAAACTAATTAATTCTAAAGTTTATATTGAAAGGCAAAAGTTCCAAAACAGCAAACATAATATTGAAGGAAAAGAAAATTGGAGAACTGACACTACCTAACTCATCACATTCTATAAACTGCAGGGATCATGGTAATGTGATACTGGTGAAAGATATGGTAATAGGACAGAATTGAGAGTGCAGGAATAGATCCACATAAATATCAAATGATCATTGAAAAAAGAATAAAGACAATAAAATGGAGAAGAGCAGTTTTTTAAATACCAAGTGGACATTCACATGCAAAAACAACAAATACACGCACAGACTTTACAAAAATCAACTAAAAATCTTTTTAGACTGAAATGTAAAACTACAAAACACCCAGAGACAGCATAAGTAAAACTTAAATGATTTTGGATATGGTAATGCTTTAGATGTATCACCAGTGGCAGGATTCATGAACAAATTAATTGATAGGTTGTATTTCATTAACATTAAGCATTTCTGCTCTGCAGAAAGCAATGTTAATAAAGTTAGGAAAGCCATAGACTGTAAGAAAATATTTGTGAAAAACACATCTGGTAAGGAACTGTTATCCAAAATATTCACAGAATTCTTAAAACTCAATCACAAGAAATCAAACAATCTAGCTGGAAAATGGACCAAAGACCTTAAGAGGCACTTCACCAAATAAAATGTGCAAATATCAAATAAGCAAATGAAAGACATTCCACATCACCTGTCACCAGGAAAGTGTGAATTAAAACAACTATGAGTAACTACCATAAATTATTGGAATGCCAAGAATCCAGAACATCCTCAAAATCAAGTGATGAAGTGTGTGGAGCAACAGGAACTCTCATCACTCCTCATGAGAACGGAAGACATGATTTCTTACAAAACAAAACACAGTCTTTTCTCATAGGATCCGCAATCACACAGAACGAGTTGAAAACGCATGTCTTTATAAAATCCTGCACAAAGATCCTTATAGTAATCTTAATGATATAAAAATTTGAAATAAAGATGTTATTTATCAGATTGATCAGTAAACATAAAAAGACAATTATTTATTGCTGAAAATCAATGAGCTATCAGGCCATCAAGAGATGGAGGAACTTTAAATGCATTTTATTATGTGGAGGAAGCCAATCTGCACAGGCCATCTGTTATATGATTTCAACTTTATGACATTTTGAAATTTAAAAACTATGGAGACTAAAAAGATCAGTTGTTTTCAGAGGTTGGGAAGAGAGAAAGTGAATAGGTTGAAAGCAGAGGATTTTAGGACAGTGAAACTACTAATATATAATACTACATTGGTGGATACATGCAATTATATATTTACCCAAAGCCATAGAGTGAGAAACCTTAAGAGTGAACTTTGAGTGATTATGATGTGTCAATGTAAGTCCATCAGTTGTTAACAGGTGGACTACCCTGGTGGAGAATGCTAATGATGACAACAGCTATGCATATATGCAATTATATATTTACCCAAAGCCATAGAGTGAGAAACCTTAAGAGGAACTTTGAGTGATTATGATGTGTCAATGTAAGTCCATCAGTTGTTAACAAATGGACTACCCTGGTGGAGAATGCTAATGATGACAACAGCTATGTATAAATGGGGTTGGGAAATATATGGGAATCTTTTTGCTTTTCTCTGTGAATCTAATTTTTTTCTAAAAGTTGACTTCAAGAAAAAATAATAAACCTAGTTTCCAAATAATATACAACTATTTTGCAAAAGAAATGCTCTAGGCAATGTAGCGCCTTTCCCCTATTACTTATAAAGGTCTTTTTTATGTTTATGAGATACAATTACTTCATACCACATACAATATACATTCATTAAAACACTAAGTAGCACACAATAACATTATCATTTATTTTATTTTTGAATTTTTGATTTTACAATAGGTCAATATGTTTGGACTTCTTCAGATTAAGTATGTTCTTCTGTTTTAGACAAGTACATATGTATGTATATTTATTTAATGCTGATTTATTTAATAAATGAACCTATACTGCATAAATATTCAACTCTAATATATTTTATTCTTTCAATAAGTGTAAGATTTAGTAGAAAAATGCCCAAATATTACATCATGTACCTTTCTCTGTTCCTTAGGTTCTAAACTGTATCCTCCCTCTGCATTCTTTCCTTTAATTTTTAAAATTAACATTAAGAAAACAGATTGCAAGTAGTTCATAGATAGAACTCTATGAATGTAGTGGTACTTCCCTCACCCCTCTTTCCTTTTTTTTAACTTTTGTAATAACATTTTTAATTATCTTTATAATCAGGATTATTGTTCCACTAAATAAAGAAATCAAAAAATTAAAAGCAGAAGAATCACTGTTTTTGCATTGATTCTCTGTTCTCCACGTACTCAGGACACACCTTCTCTCAAACAACTTTTCTTTCTTCAAAACATTCTTCTTGCTTACTGTATTACCTAAACAATCTATCCTTTCTGGTCTCCATTTGTTGCCTCCTTGAGACTCATCAAAGTCCTCAAGGCAAGCTGTCTGTTTCCAGTGTTGAAGTGTTTACAGGCACAACGGAAAAACACCCAACAGTTCTAAGATGGTTACCTCAATTTTGTTCCTTGGGAAGCGTTTCAACAACTGACAGTTAGCTCCAGGACTTTCACAGAAGAAACGACGGCCCTGAGGCAGCAGGGGCTCTGTCTGGCTGAGGAAAAGGTCTCGGCATCCCTGGCTTCCCTAATGCAGCAGCTGGGTGTGTGCTGCCTGCCAAGGAGCTGTGCACCTGCATGCAGTGTGGGACGGCTGCCTTAGCTCTGGGTGTCCCACGACGCCCCACAGCCATCTGGAGAGCTAAGTGTGTGCCAGAGAAACAGCACATTTGGACACAAACCAAGTCAAGCAACTTACTTAAAAGAAAGAACTTTCTCAATGTTTCTTCTTTAGAACGTGATGGAAAAATTACAAATTTGGAGTCAAACAAAGCTAGCTCACAATTATCTTTTTGCTTCTTAGACCCTTGTGACTACCTTTAATTAACTTTTTAAAGAATTAATTACTGTCTTTACCCATGAAATATGAGGGAACAGACAGTCCTCAATTTACTATGATTTGATTTATGATTTTTGCATTATGATGATGCAAAATGAATCTTCCTGGATTAGCACTGTGGTCTCATGATGCCAGGCACTGGCAGGGAGTAGCAGCTACCAGTCAGCCATGCATCCATACAAGGAAGCCATTGATATTATTATGCGTATTGTGTTCAATACATTGCATAAGTATTCAACATTGTATGACCCAATAGGTCTCTGGTAAGATAATTTTGCCCAACAGGAAGCTAATATAAATGTTCTGACCACATTGAAGGTAGGTAAGATAAATTCTAATGTTTAGTAGGTTAGGTGAGTTAAGTGTTCTAGGATGCTTTCCTTGTACTATGGGTTTATCAGGATATAATCCATTTATAATTCAATGTGTATGTAAAGCTCTCTGGTTTATATACAGTGTGTCTAATGTTTTATTTCTTTCATATTTACAAACTGGAGATACACATCAAGGTAGTCCTTGGAAAAATAGCTACTTCTCTTTATAGAAAATACATATATTAGGGGCCATCCTTGTAGTGTGGCAGGTAAGCTGCCACCTGCAATGCCAGCTTCCCTTATGAGTGCCAGTTCAAGATCCTGCTGCTCCATTTCAGATCCAGCTCCCTATTAATAGCCAAGGAAAAGCAAAGGAAGAGGGTCCAAATAGTTGGGCCCCTGCCACCCATGTGGGAGACCCTGAAGAAGCTCCTGGTTCCTGGCTTTGGTTGTCCAGCCCTGGTCATTGTGGCCTTTGGGGAGTGAACCAGCAGATGGAAGATGTCTCTCGCTCTGTGTCATTTTCTCTCTCTCTCTCTCTCTCGCTCTCTCTCCCTCCATGTCCATTTCAAATAAATAAAATAAGTTTTTAAAATGTATTTTAAAGATTTAAATTTTATTATAATTATTTGAGGTAAGAGAGAGGGAGAGAGGGGGAGAGAGAGAGAGAGAGAGAGAGGAACTCCATTTGCTAGTTCACTCCCCAAATCATCTGCTTATTCCCTCCCCCAAATGCCTACAACAGTTCCTTGCAGAGGCTGAGGTCACGACTGAGGAACACAATCTTGTTCTCCCACTTGGGTGGCAGGAACCCTGCCTCCCAATATCCACATTAGCTGGAAGCTGGATCTGTAGTGAAGCCAAGTACTGAATGCAGGTGCTCCAACATGGGATGTAGGTGTCTTAACCACTAAGCCCAACACCTGCTTCTGTGCATATAACTTATGTAAATCCTCTCTCATCAATAAGTGGGCCACCACATGTCCTCTATTATATTAGGGCAGTATTTAGTGACTCCCTTCTGTGGACAATACAAAAAGTCTATGTAGGGGGACCGTGAGGTTTCCACAAAGAATCCTGGAGAACACTCTCTCAAATTACCGTCAAGTCATCCTCAAAGAGAGTTCCTCTAACATAATGTTTTAAAAAATGGCACTTCCCTCTGTGGTTTTACTTTGCCATCCATCACTTCTAATAACCATGAGAGAAGCATCCAGCAGACCCAAACTGAGCAACATTTTAATATATAAGTGTTAAGTTTTAATATATGTTTTATATATATATATATATATATATATATATATGGCATGAACTAGAGGATG